CATGAAGTCTGCCTACACCTGTCTTTGAGATTTCTATTTTCTCTTCCAGTAAAATTATTTTCTATTTTAATATTTAGAGCTTTCATCTATTCTGACCTTGGCTCAGTACATGGTGGTAGACGTGAGCCTAGTTTTAGTCTAAAGTCTGTTTTTCCACCACCATTTATTTTTATTTATTTTTGTGCGGGGTCTCACTACACAGCTCAGACTCGTAGTGATCCTCCTGTTTTCAGCCTCCCTAGTGCTGGGATTACAGGCGTGCACCACCACGCTCCGACTCTTATTACCAGCTCAGCGCGCCCAGGGGGCGGGGCCAGCATGGCTTGTGGTGCTGGGGACTGAACCCAGGCCTCTCCCCCCCAGCCCGCTTCTCACCAGTCCTAACCCACCACCTTTTATTAAAGAGATTTTCTTCCAGTGAATGTGTTTGGCTCCTTTGTCAAAGATATCATGGCTGAGTGTGCTTGGGATTGCATCTGCATCTTCTATTCTGCTCCATACCATCTTGTCCTTATAGTCACAGAGCAGCCACTAACTTAAATGTGACAAGTTTCTATGCCAAAGGAATGGGCCCAGGAAAGTCTCACCCGTGGTTATTAAAGCTGTGACCTAGCACTGAGGCACATTCTCAATACCCTGCCCCCTTTATTTTAACATAGTCTGAATAAATTGCCTAGGCTGGGCTTGAACTTGCAATCCTCCTGCCTCAGCCTCCCAGAGTGCTGGGATTACAATGTGCCAGCATGCTCAGTTATGGGATTTTTTTTGGCAGAACCGGGGATTGAACTCAGATCCTTGTGTTTGCCAGTCAAGCACTTATCTTACTGAGCCATCTCCCTGGCCCCAGATATTCCTTTTTTTAATATTTTTTTTTAACATTTAGTGTGTGTGTGTGTGTGTGTGTCCAGCTCAGCCCACCAGGGGGCGGGGCGGGCTGGCATGTGGTGCTCGGGGATTGAACCGCGGTCCCTGTGCTTTGCCAAGCTTGTTCCAAGTAGGTGCTTTAGACCACTGAGCCATCTCTCCAGCCCCCCCCCAGATATTTCTTATTTTAGCTCCAGGACAGTTCTGTGTGATTGGCACTATCATCCTCATCCTTGTTTTCAGGAGATGAACCTGAGACTTGGGAAAGGAATTTAATATTTTAATCTCTGCATCATGCTGCAGGTAGAAAGGGACCGCCACATTGCAGACAGGAAAGAAATCTGTATCAGTTCTTTTCACTTTGTTAAAAGATCACTCCCAAACTTAGCTGTTCAGAGGAGTTACCTTGTTTATGATTCTGCATGTTTGGCAGTTTAGGTTGGGACCAGCTGGGCGCTGCTTCTGTCGTTTCAGCTGTCAGCTTGCGCTCTGTCTCTGGGGTACCAATGATAACTGGGCTGAGTCCCTTGATAACCCAGCAAGTTAGCCTGGGCATCCTGATGTGGCTGAGGTCCCAAGGACAGCAAGGAAGGCAGCCCCAGTGCATAAACGCTTCTCCAATCTCTGCTTATGTCATGCGCTGCTGTGCCAAAGCCTAGAGGATGAGAGGATGAGCCACAGGCATGGACACACAGACACTAAGCAAACTGGGGCATCCACAGGTCACACTGGTTCCAGAGGGATGGTGCTTGACCATCACAAAGCCTTCAAATCACAAAACAACACGCAACAAGAGTCCTCATTTTTATTCATTCTTCCAAAAGTACCACAGGCCATCACACTCCCGGTTTATCCTTCCTTGTTCTCCATAACCGAGACATAAGTTCCTCCATCATTATCCAGAAATGTACAAAATCCTGCTGTGGTGATGAAGGTGCTGCATTCGCCATTTTGGGGGCCTGTTCTGCTTCCGGCAACAGCAACACCAGGACTTATGTATTTTCTGTGGTTCCCGCCCTCTGGGGTGTCCCAGTCCTGGGCTGTCACACGTACACATCCTGATGGCAGCCAGTCCCATAGCCATATGGGAATTCTAGACTTTTGTTTCAATGCTTTCAGAGACAGATGCCTTCCTCAGAACTTTGTCTCCACAAAACCTAAAGTTGAATTCCATCAAATATTATCACATAAAATGCAACCACCCTACACAGTATCAGCAAAACACAATGGTGCCCAATATAGAACTACATAAATACAACCTGTGTGCGTGTACATACACACACACACACACTCACATACAGAAACAAGAGTGGTCTGGCATCCCCTGATGTGCTCACTGGCCTGACTGCTGACAGGACAGAGCGGGGAAACAGCAGCAAGGTATACAGCAGAGATGTCAGAGAGGGCCACATCAGAGTGGCACAAGGGCACTGTGTGAGTAAAGGCATGGTGTTGCCAGAAGATGCCTAGGTCAGAGTCAGCCTGGTGCCGCCCGAGGCCAAGGGTGTGGGCAGGGGAAACAGGCCTAACGTCTGAGCTCCCTGTGGGCCTGACTTCTGCTCTGCTTGTGCACACGAGCGTAAGCACATACACAGAGTAAATTCTCAGTGTTGCATGTGAGGTAGACGCCATTCACTGTAACTTGCCCAAGGTCACCTCCAAAGTCAGGAGGACTCTGAACCTAGAGCTGTGCTCATAAGATTTTGTGCCATCACGGAAATGCTCAGCGCCTCTACTCTCCATACTGTGGCTAACAAGTAGCCCTCGAGATGTGGCCAGAGTAACTGAGAAACTGAATTTTGTTTGATTTGCTTTTTCTTTTTTGCGGAACCAGGGATTGAACTCAGGCCCTTGCGCTTACCAGGGAAGCGCTTATTCCACTGAGCCATCTCCCTGGCCCCTGATTTGCTTTTAATTCATGTAAACAAAATATTCATCTCCACTACTCACGAACTAGTCTGCATAACTGGGAGAACCTAAGGAGGTGAATTTACCCTTATACATCTCATAAAATGTAAGTAGCACTTCCAGTGACAACTTATTCTCTGAATTGAGGTATGCTATAAGTGTAAAGAACATACCAAATTTTAAAAACAGCATAAAATAATGTAAAATCTTATCAATATCTTTAAAACATTGAAATAACATTTGGTGGGAGTGGGTTAAATACATTACAGTGAGTTTCACTTGTTCAATTTTTTTCACTACAACATGAAAGGCGGCAAGGTTTCTGTTGGACAGCTGTTGGCTGTCAGAGGCCGCATGCTTGACTGAGGGGCTCTGGGACCACACTGGGAGGAGTGCTGGATGCTATTGGTACAAGTGAACCCCATTTCTCTAGGCCTGCCTGGGTTAGTGGCCCTTCAGAACATCGTCAAATGCTTTCCCCATCACGGCCACCTGACTTTGAGGGGACAAGATAAACTGTGCTTGAGGTGAGAGTTCAAATTGCAGTGAGGGGTGCCATCCCCAAGTACCTGCCCCTCGACCAGGAACCCTTGCCTTCAGCTGTCAAGGAAAATAAGATCTCTGAAGCGTTTGTGGCTCTGGTCGAGCCCTTTCATTCCAGAGACAGGAAAATAAGGCACCGGCCCTTGTGACATAAGGACAGTGACAAACCCCCATTTGCTTCCTCGGTCCCTGACCTCACACTCGAGTGTTCTCTTCTGTTATATGCTTCCTTCTCCTGCTTGCATTCCCTGTCCCTTTTTGCATCAAGAGGGCAACAACCTAAATCGTCCAGCCCGAGCTCTGCCACTGATCCATGAATAAAAGTAACACACATTTCCTAAGCACCTACGGGACGCCAGGCACTGCTCTGTGCTGGAGGCACACCTGAAAACACGACAGGCAAAGGGAAAAGAGACAGTAAGTGGGCAAATAAATAAATAAATAAATAAGGTAATTTTTGCTGGGTGTGGTGCTGCACACCCATGATCCCAGCACTTGGGAGGCTGAGGCAGGATTGCCGTTTGAGTTCAGGGCCAGCCTGCGCTACATAATGAGTTCAAAGCCAACCTGAACTACCCAGCAAGACTCCTTTAAAAACAAACAAAAATGTGTAAGCTAAGCAGATGCAGAGGCACAGCATTCCAAGGAGAAACAGCGCATGTCCTGAGGCAGGACATCGTACAGGCTTAGTGGAACATCAGCCTGATCTCCCAGCCTGCTTAGGGCTGAGACCGAGAAGAGGCGGGGCCCAGAGCACCAGCTCCGCGCTCTCATGCGCTTGGCCAGCCCTCTCTAGACCTGTCCTTATGTATGAGCTCCCTTTTCCAAGTTTTGACAATGAAAAATCATTTAACTTGAGGCCTAGAACACTGCAGGCACTGTGATTACCGCCTTTGCCTGTCCTGCCTTTCTGGGGGAGCCCTGCTCGCAGATGCACACCCTTTGTGGCCTCTTGGGGATCTGGGAGGAGAAAACTGCATCAAAATGTCTAGACAACTGCAGGACAGCTGCTTCTCCAAAAAGCCAGGTATACAGAACAAGGCCAAAGCAGTTAAGCTTATTATGACAGAAGAAACATGACCCAAACCCAGAGGTAAAGGAGAGGGACACACACCCGAGATCCTCTGCACCACCCAGCACCTACAAGGTGGGGGCATTCGCACCTTCCCGGCCATGCTCACAGACAGGCAGCTGCCTGGACAAAGTACACCGCGGACTCATTGGCAGGACCTCTGAAGCAGAGGTTCGGTCTCTTCCACATCTGCGTCTCAGGGTCTCAGAGGCCTACCATGTTGTCTCTATTCTCTTCTCTCCTTGTTATCATTCTTCCCACCCGAGACAGCAAGTATCCAACAGCCCTTCACTCCAAGAGACCCAGGAGTCCACTCTCCTATCCGAAGCAATCAAGGTGCAAAGTCCTCTAGGGAACAGGAAGCTGGGACCCCAAGTCAACCCTCCATCTTATGAGGATTTAAAGTTCACTGTCCCTTGCGGTGCTGGGAGGCTGCGTGTGCACATTTTCTTCCCAGGAAACCTAACTTCCCAGAATGCCCAGACTCCCCCGACCCTCATACAGGACTCCAGGTCCCCCTGCCATGGAACTCCTCAGGAATCAAGGCTTTTAACCTATCTCCCCTAGGTAGACGCCCAATAACTACAGCTGGAGACAAGGATGTGCTCCCTTCTAGGAGTCCAGGCCACCAATACATCATAGTCCACAGAAAAATCAGGAGTCCTGTCTCCCAAATTTGATTCCCCTTCAGGATTCCACATACCCCAAAAAGAAGTCAGAGCCTGCACCCCCCCAATACAAAGACTCTGAATAGCATCTCCCCCCACCCTTGCATCTGGCTCAGACTTTCAAGCCCTTACCCCTTTAACTGGGACTTGGGGCTCTCAGGGGTGCTCCCAGGCCTGCATCCTACCCCACCTTTCACTGGGCTGGCTCCCCGGGTGCCAGCACAGCCTCAGCATCTGCCCGCATCTCATCCAGAGCCTGCAGCAGGACGCCGTGGGCAGCCCGGTAACCTAGGCCACCTGTCGCCGCTGCGCCACCCGCAGGCCACAGGAAAGAGAGGGCGCCCAGTGCAGCCCCTCCTGCTGTGCCTTCGCCTGCCCAGGCACCCAGTCTCGCTTCCACCTCGGCGCGTGTCACTGGGCCCGGGAAGTGCGCACGCGCAGCCAGCTCCCCGGGCGCCAAGCCCAAGGCGCGCTCCCGCCGCGCCAGCACTGCAGGTTCAAGGCCCAGCGCCCGCCGCCACTCAGAGAGCTGACCGCGAAGAAGCGCCACGTCGCAGGCCCAGCCTAGCCCGGGTACAGGGGCCGCGGCTGCCGCCAAGCTGGCCAGCAGAGCCGGCCTCCACGCCCCAGCCCGCAGCGCTGCTACCTTCTTTCTAGCAGCGCTGGGTGAGGCGGGCGGCAAGGCCAACAGGAGCGCCCCAGCCTGGGCCGGGGGCAGCGCATGCTGCAGCCACTCGCAAAGCCCTGGGAGCCCGCGGGGCCGCAGGGGGAACACGGGCGGCAGCGCCTCCTCCAGCACCTCCCACGACTCGTCCTCTGGGCTCAGAGCTGCCCTGTGCCCAGGGTCTCCACTGCCCCGGATGTTGGCGCCAACCACCTGCTGCGAACTCTGGCCACCAGCTGGCTCTGAACCTTCCCCACCACCAGCTTTGTGTGATCCTGTGCCACATTTCTCCTCGCTGAACACTTTTTCCAGTGTTCCTTCTTTGCCCGTGTTTTCCAAGCTCTGTCCTATGGGCTTCACTGTTTCCGCTTCCTTCTGAGAGTCAGGATCCTCGCCCTTACCGTCTGTTCGCACACAGACAAGAGGCGCATCTGGTGACACCAAGGCACGGACCTGGGCCCAATCCTTCTCTGTGGGGGCTCCAGGGGTCACGAGAATGAGGGCATCATATTGGGTTGGGTGAGGGACAGCGCCAGGGGCTGAGCCCACAGAGCCCAGAGGCACGGCCCAGAGTACCACATTGGGACGCTCCGGGGCAGGCCATGGGGTGGGCTCCGTGGGTTCCAAAGCAGGCATGGCCCCTGGATCACCAGGATCCAACCCGAGCAGTGTGTCCAGCACAAGGCTCACATCAGTTGTACCCGCCACGGCTAGGTCCAGCCGCGCACTGCCCAGGCGTTCCAGGCCTGCACGCACCCATGACAGTGCAGCCTCTAGGCCACCGGTCTCGAAGGCCTCTCGCACAGCCTCCAGCTCTGCAGCACCCAGCACCTCGAAACCATCCTGGGCAGGAGGCAAGTGCCTGTGGAAGCAAAGAGGGATAGGATCAGGGTGGAAGATCAAAAGACCGCAAGAAAGCTGGAAGGCAGCTATGCTCACCACTCTACCACCAATGCCACACCGCAGGAAAGCTGGGCTACTGGAACTAGGGTTAAGCTAGCTGGACAGGGCAGAGCGTTCTAGTGTTTTTCAGACAGAGTCTCCTAAGCATTTCAGGCCAGTCTTGTGCTCACTTTGTAACCCCCAGGCTGCTCTCCGACTACCAAGAGTTGAGATTACAGGCTGGGATTATGGGCATGTGCCACTACACCTGATTCCCAGGTGAGTCGTTGTGCTGCCAATAGGTGTTTACGCCTCTGAGCTATCTCCCCAGCCCTCTGTTGGTATTTAGGGTCCTGCCCTGTTCCAGACTGGCCTTGAACTTGATATGTAGTCCAGGTGACTGCTTGTAATCCTCCTGCCTCAGCTCTGAGTGCTGGGATTGTATACATCCAACTTTAGAGCTTTCTGAATAATCTCGGGGTGAGGCAGGAGGAGGGAAGGGGCCAGAGAGAAGGCTAAGCATACAGGAACCTGGGGGCCTGTGTGTGGAGTGCTAATGAAACCAAGGGAGGAGCTTTAAAGACTCCAGGAGTCTTAGAGTAGTAGTCAGGCCTTAATCACCAAGTGAGTTGACCTGAGGTCAAATTTACACAAGGAATGAGGCTTAGAGCAAGACTAGAAAGCCAAATGCATTGTGAGCTAAAAAATGTTGAGCACTGCTTGACGTGGACCTTGAGGAGGCCCCCAAAGGCGTTCTTTCCTAAGGCCAGCCATCAGGAAGGCCTAGAAGGGGGAGAGGTCCCATCTACTAGTTCTTTTTTTTGGCAGAACCGGGGATTGAACTCAGGCCCTTGCACTAGCCAGGGAAGCACTCATTCTACTGAACCATCTCCCCAGCCCCTCATCTACCAGTTCTTATCAAGGAAGTGTGGCTAAGATGATAAATAAGGGGCGAATGAAGCTAAAAAAGAAAGATGAGTGAACCTGTCAGGGAGGCTGACCCTCTCTGAGCCTCACTCTGATGTCCATAAAATGAAGCAGCTAAAAAACAAAAGCAAAAACGGGTGCCAGGCATGGTACCACATACCCGTAATCCCAGCACTGGAGGCTGAGGCAGGTGGGTTGCCATGAGCTCTGGGCCAGCTTCAGTGACACAGGAAATTTAAGGACAGCATGAACTAAATAACGAGAGCCTGTCTCAAACAAAACTTCAAAGAATGGCAACTGGCAGTTGTGGGGTGAAGGATTTGGGAGGTAGCCAGCAAGTGGGCAAAGAAGTGAAAAGGGATTGGAGAAGTGTGGAAGGGTGTGGATTTGGGGCAACTGGGGGTCCCTTGAAAACTAAGTTTTAGGTAAGGAAAAGGGTAGACTCCAGGGATCTGCATGTGACATCTTTTCTGAGGTGACAGACTTTCCTAAAGAGATGAAGTCTTCCTTCAAACTTTCCTGAGGGCAATATCTGCAGGATAGTTCCGGGCCTCTCCTAGATTCTTGCTAGAGAGCCAGACTTGTGACCTCAGAGGGCTCACAGGAAGTGAGTCCTGGGCAGCTCTGGACTTGCAATTGACCCTTACCTGGGGCGGAGCCTAAAGCGCTGGAAACTGTCAAAACACAAAGCCCTGGTTTGGGGTGGAGCCTTCCTGACCCCAAAATCTGCTCCAACAGGCTACCTGGGCAAAGGAGCTAAACAACCAAAACTAGTAAAGCTGTCGCCCAACCTCAATGAGGTCAGGGTCTTGTTTACTTCAAAGAAGCTTTTAGCAGGTGGGACCTAGGCTAAAGAGACCAGGCCGCCCCACCCAGCCTGAAACCGCATCGCTCACCTCTGCAGCGTCTCCGCCTGGCTCCGCAGCGCCACCCTGAGGCGCTCTAGCTCCTCGCAGCCGTCACTACGGCCGCAGTCAGCCGGCAGCACGAAGAGAGCCGCTGCCCCCAGCCCTGCGCTGTCCAACAGCGCCGCTGTCTGATCGCGAGCCTGGGCCGCACGCTGTGAATCCTCGGGACTGAGGCTCCGCACAGCCAGCAGCGGGGTCCCTCGGGCCAAGGCGGCCCGCGCTGCCTCTCCCAGCTCCGGAGCCAAGGGCTCATTTCCCTCGGGCCCGGGTAGCACCAACACCAGCACGTTGGCCTCTGCCGCCCAGGGCCCAGGCGCTGCTGGGGGGCAGCTCAACTCCCCAAGGAAGAGGCCGGGACCTGCCGCTCTCAAGCTGGGAATCCCAGAGTCCGGCCGTCCCTCGGGGATCTCTACCGTCTCCACATCACTGTCACACAGCGCTGCGATGAGCGCGGACTTTCCTGAGCCCGGAGGCCCCAGGAACAAGGCTGTCACGTCACCTCGTGGCGGAGGCATTGCTGGAAATAAGAATGGGGAAGACATGATCAGACAGTATCTAGCTTTTTTCTTTCCTCATCGCCCCACTCTGGACCAAGGTGTCAGTTCTCCATCCTGTCCCTTACTTCTATTCTTAGGCATCACCCCGCAGGATCCAGAAAGCCAGAACCCAGGGCCTATTCCGAGGAACCGGGCGCCTTTCCACCCTTTTTCTGGATGCAAACATTCCTCTTTCTGCTTCAAAAACTCAGAAATCTGTCTTTCAGTCCTTCATCCCCCCGGGACACAGGGATGACTCTCCCCTGCCCCCCTCCAAATCACCAACCGAGCAGAGAGGAAACCCTGGGAGCGCAGCTGGTGACCCGTCAGCCGAGGAGCCCCGCCCTTGGGGCCCGGCGGGCGGAGGTCGAAGGCGCCAGAGCGACGGAATTTGGACTCTTCGGGACCAGTTCGGGTGGCTCTACCCTGAAGTCACTCCCTCAGCGAGCAGGCGTATCTTGGAGCGCGACTGGAGAGCCGTGCGTGAACCTCAAGGCACTCACGGTCTTTAACTTGGACGACCTCAAGCTTAGAACAATGAGGGGGCCAAGGCGCCTGCGCACCCGGAGCCCCCTCCCCAGTCCTGCGCAGTAGGACCATGTTTGTACGGCAAGGCGGCCTTGAAACGTCATCATAACGCGCCCCGCAGCGGAGAAGGACCCGCACTCGCTAGTCCGAGGACCGGGCCGACGTGACTTTAGTACTGCCGGACAGGATCTGTTACCTCTACTTGGAAAGATTTGTCAGGTCAGAGAGTGCGGAGACCATGGGAAGCCTCGAGATTTCTTGGCCTGATCCTACTGTGTGGTGACGCTGTCGCCAGCGACAGCAGGCACAGCTAAGGGCAGCCTTCTGGGGTATCAAGAAGAGCAGAGGCCTTGGCCACAAGCCTCGCGAGCCGGGAGCTGTAGGCGGTGCTGAGGGTAGCGGAACTCAAGGGCTCTCCATGGACCACATGTCACAGGATGTCCCCCAGGAGGAGGCAGGCTAAAGGGTGGGAACCACTACATGTAAAGAGTGGGATAAAGGCGATGTCGAGTTCACGGGTCCTAAGCTTGCAGGGTTAGCTGGGGGGAAGAGGTTATAGGTCGCATAGGTGAGAAGACCCTAGGTCTAGGGGAATTATAAACCCGGGGAGGCTGAACTTCATAAAAAGACTGGATGCCATTGGCGTCAAAAGGATTAGCGGGCCCAGTGCGGCTGGTGACAGATAAGCGCCTCACTCATGCGTGCTCCTCTCTTGACCAGAGGCGTCCCTGTCTCCATGGAGGACCTGCGTCCTCAAGAGCCCATGGAACGGCAAGATTCACCCACGGAGACGAGTCCTAGTGGCTCAGGAGACAACCTCTGTGAGTACTGCAGGCTAGAGGAGGGTGGGTACAGGAGCGACCCCGAGCAGACTTCTGTAGCATTCGTGTCCAGGGCAGAGCGGCCCTGTCCACTAGTAAGGTCCTGCCCTACTAGGAACAAGTGAGTATAACCTCACCCTTATACTCAGATGCATTCCCCCTCTTCTGGCCACAGACGCATGTGTGATGCAGTTCAGGAGGGGGAGGTTGGCTTCCTGGACAGGCTTGGCTTAGAGATATGTTTAGAAAGGTTTTTGGTCCCAGCAGTGCCCTAGACTTTCACTGTGGCTAGACTTCAGTTTACCTGTCAAAAGAGGCTTCCTCTATCCATCTTGCCGGGCTTTCCTGTAGTTGCCTGTAAAAAAGGGGACAGCTTGCTGGGAATGAAAGTAGCCTGTTTGATGTAAGTAGCAGCAGCTCCTACAGAATGCTTATTATGTGCTAGCTACATTCATTCTCATATTATGAATGACTTTAAATACATTCTCTCAGTCCCCCTAAACAATGCTCCCTGTGTAATTGCTACTTCATTTACAGTGAGGGAGGGAAGGAGGTAAAAAGAGTTTGGAATTTTTTAACAAGAACCATCGTGTCAGCCAGGTGTGGTGGCGCACACCTGTAAGCCTAGCACTTGGGAGGCTGAGGCAGGAAGATCCTTGTGAATTCAAGACCAGCCTGGGCTACAAAGTGAGTTCAAGGCCAGCCTGAACTGCATAGTGAGACCCTGTCTCAAAATAAATGAATAAATAAAAGAAGCATAGGGTCAGTGCCTCCATCCAGACCACGAGGAACACAACTGTCTTGAACAAGTTGGATTTATTGCTCCTAGTGACACAGGGAGCCTGAGGTGTCTCAGGAAGAGAGGTTTTTGTTCTTGTTGGTTTTTTGAGACAGGGTCTCCATACTGCAGTTTAAGCTAGAGTACTTTGTAGACCAGGCTGGTCTCAAACTCACAACCATCCTCCTGCATTAGCCTCTCAAGATCTGGGATTATAGGTGTGCACCACCACACCCAGCTTAGGAAGAGTATTAAGAAGGCTTTACAGGATCTGGAATTGTTTGCAGTAATTTTTTTTTTCTTTTTATGTATTTAGTACAGGATCTCACTACGCAGATTTGTAGTGAGCCTCCTGTTTTTCAGCCTCCCTAGTGCTGGGATTACAGGCATGTGCCACCACGCCCCGTTTTAGTTGGTCTCAGTGGAACCGGGGGCTGGGCCAGCACACAGGCCAGAGATTGAACCCCGGACCCTTGCATCTGCCTAAGCAGGCGGTTTAATCCGCTGAGCTATCTAGCTGGCCCTTGTCTGCAGTAATTTGAATGAAGGTTCAAACAAATGAAGGTTTTGTTAGGATGGAAGCTGTCAAGAGTCAGGGATGGTGCTGACTGGCTATTTTAAATGTTTTTTTTTTTTTAATTTTATTTATTTATTTATTTATTTATTTGAGAGAGAGAGAGAGAGAGAGAGAGAGAGAGAGAGAGAGAGAGAGAGTGAGAGAGAGGCCAGCTCAGCCCACCAGGGGGCAGGGCTGGCTGGCATGTGGTGCTGGGGGATTGAACCGCGGTCCCTGATGCTTTTGCTAAGCTTGTTCTAAGTAGGTGCTTTAGACCACTGAGCCATCTCTCCAGCCCCTGACTGGCTATTTTAATAACAGAGGGAGGAGAAGAGACTCTAGCTGTGATTGATGGAGCAGCAGTCACTGCTGTTAGCCCGTGTAGGGGGTGTTTGGTGATTTTTAAGACTTGGACATGTTCATGTTTTCTCTAGCATTGATGTTCTGTTAAAGTGTTTGCGTCCAGTGGAACACCAAGGCCTAGCTGCATCGAGTCAGCTTCCAGAGGTCCAGCTGCTTTCCTGTCTCAATAGTCATAATTGCCGATATTGGGCAACAGTGCTGTAAGCACTTATATAAATTAACTCATCCCAACAACCCTTGGAGTAGGAAGTTATCACCCTGTTTTCCAGATAAGGAACCTGTCATACCTGCCTAGACAGTAGTGGGGCTAGAGTTCATGCAGTCCCCCACCCTATTTGAATTTGATTGCTCTGTCAGATGGCAACTATCTGGGTTCCAGGCCTGGTTTTACCTTTTCAAGTCAGGCCTCACGACTGTGAGCCATTTGCCTGGCTTCTCTAAAGTTTTAACCACTACCCAGCACTAGCAGCCTTGTGAGCCTAGAGCACAAACCATTGTTAACATGATTCTGGGGCTTGGGAGGTCCTGGAGACTAGTGCTGGCTTCCCCGACCTCTCCCCACATCCCACAGGCCACCTAGGGCCCCCGGAGTGCACCCACTGCCTCATCACCTTCGCCGATTCCAAGTTCCAGGAGCGTCACATGAAGCGAGAGCACCCAGCGGACTTTGTGGCCCAGAAGCTGCAGGGGGCCCTCTTCATCTGCTTCACCTGTGGCCGCTCCTACCCCTCATCCAAGGCCCTGATCACCCACCAGCGCAGCCACGGTCCAGGCACCAGGCCCTCCCTGCCAGATGCGCCCACCACTGCCCAGGCCCCCTTCCCTTGTCCTGACTGTGGCAAGGCCTTTGGGCATGTGGCCTCTCTGAAGCGGCACCGCCAGGTGCACAAGGCCTGCACCCGCCCTGGCCCCTTTGCCTGCACCGAGTGTGGTCAGGACTTCGCCCAGGAAGCAGGGCTCCATCAGCATTACATCCGGCATGCTCGGGGAGAGCTCTGAGCGTAACTGGATCCCTCGCCACAGTGATGGGGGTGCTGGGCGCTGTGGGACCTGGGCATGACAGGAGGCACAGGCCTTCTAGGGGCCCTGACAGGACTGACTTCCCTCCCTGGGAAGGGAAAGGGCTCTCGAGAGACACGACCCAGAAGGTCCTCATTTAGAGCTTCAGTCTTTGGAGGACACAGGCCCTTGAGAGATACAGTAGTCAAATCAAATCACTGTAAGCTTTTTTTTTTTTTTTTTTTTTTTTTTAGAAGAGGAGCCAGAAAGAGAACAAGAGGGAAAATTTTTTGTTTCCTTCATTCCCAGTTAAACAACCAGCTGCACATTGTGTAATCACCTGCAGTTTTTCCCAGATGGATGCCACGGGCTACAGAAACAAACTGCCCTAGATCTGTGCCTGAGTAGGAGGCAAGGAGGGCAGGTGCTGCTGGCTAAGTTCCAGACCTGAGCCGGTGGGGATGGGGCAGTGAGGCCGGGCGCCAGACCCTGAGTCACACGGGTTACAATTTGGGTCCTCTTCGCCCAGCACCCCCCCCCCACCTCCCTACCCAAGGATGTTTTCTGTCCATGTAGAGGACATAAACAAGCTCATGGAAATAGTATCTAAAAACAGAACATCCATATTCAAATGCCGGAGCAGGGAGCTCTGGCTTTCACTGAGAGCGAGCTGGGGAACAGAAGGATATGGGTAGAGGGAGGGCAGGGCAGAGCTGGCCTAGCCCCACAGGGAATCTAGTTTGGTATCAAACAGAGATGCCTTCTGTTCCACGTTTTGTTTGGCCAACACTGGGACATCTCCCATTACCATTCTATGTTTAGCTCTCTCAAGGGGCCCAACTCATGGCTTGCGTGGTCAGCACAGCAGAAGCTACAAGCTGGAGCACAGCAGCAGGTTGTCACCCCCCAACAGCACAGGAGACCCACCAGGCCTGCTTTACTCCGGACCCTCCCTGCTGTGCCCCTAGAGACAAGGGCTGATGCCCTGCATAAAATATTCACAGGCTCTATTTGAATCTAAAACTGGTTTTTGTTTAAGCCCACAGTTGTGAATGGAATGGAAACTGACAGCTGTCTCGGTTTTGTTGGGCACACATAGCAGGTAAAAGGACTACTTCCCAGACTCCCCACAGCTGGGTATGGCTGCTTTAGGACTGAGTTCTGGCTGAATCTCCGGGTAGAAGCCTCCTTTGCATTTCTACCTGGAGTGTGTGGCACCCAGTCACGCCTTGGGCCGCAGGGACCAGGCCACCTCGCCGATGGCAGAGAACAAGATAGCAAGAGCCTGGGTCTCTGGTCAGCCTCTCACAGCACTTCCATAGCAGCCCACTTCTACACATTCCCTAAGAGAAATAAACCTCTTATTTAAGCCACCGTTACTTTGAGTCTCTGTCACATGGCACAGAGTTTATACTGTAAGGCAGGAGTCTATATGCTAGTTTTAATTGGAACACATGGGTTCATTCATTTATTTTTTTTCTCTGCAGCTGCTTTCATATCAAACAGCAGATCTGAGACATCACACTCTACAGTCTCCCTCTCCTCAGGCCTATTCTGAATCTGGAAGCAAGGATTCCCATCCTGAGAAACACTGCCTCTTGCGTGTGTGTGTGTGTGCCCCCATGCCTGTTTGCATGTGTGTACACACGTGTGACTTGCAATGCCTTTTGGGGGTGACTTATGGGGAAACAAGTTTGGAGTTAATTGGGCATCACCAAGATCAACTTCACCAAAGTCAAATACTTCCTCTTGTGTTCGGTAAAAGCCCAGAAGTCTCTGACCCAGCTGTCTCCCATTGTCTCCCCTAATTCCAAACCAAAGAATCTAATCCCACCTGCCCACAGTGGTGTGTTTATAAGGCTGCCTGTTCTCTACACTGCTCAAATTCCTAAGACTTGGCATCACTGGGGGCTTCCAAGTTTTTATTTTCTTTAGTACTAGGGATTGAACCCAGACCTTTCATCCTGAGCTATACCCTCAGCTCTTTTTTTTTTTTTTTTTTTTTTGCAGAACCGGGGATTGAACTCAGGCCCTTGCGCTTGCCAGGCAAGCGCTTATTTTACTGAGCTATTTCCCCGGCCCTCAGCTCTTTTTTTGAGACAGGATCTTACTATGTTGCTCAGGCTAGGCTTGCATTTGGGATACTCCCACCTCAGCGTCCTACAGCACTGGCATTACGAGTGCGTGTCATTACACCTGGCTGCTCTCCAAATCTCTATCTCCAGCCCAAACCCCAGATGGGGTACACCCACCTGATGACAAATGGAAACCTCAAATTTAAATTGGATCAGTGTGATGACCCACCCCCACAGCTGCTGGCCTGCTCAGGTGCCATCCTGTTAGTGAATACACCAAGTTCTTGAGCCTGACTTGGGTTCACCTAGCCTTAGTCCTAGTCTCTCACCTGCTGCCCGGTTAGCACTCCTGCCACCTCCAGTCAGCTACAGACCACTCTGGGAGTCAGGCCATGTCAGTCCCCCCGCTGGACCCTCCAATGGTTCTCCATAAATAACACTGAAAGGCCATACCCCAGCCCACGAAGCCCAGTGATGACTGCGCCCCAGCCAAGGCAATCAGCCCCTCCCTTCCTGCCGTCTTCTTTGCTGGCGTCTGCCTCAGGGCCCTGGCATTTGCTGATTCCTTTGGAGAAAGCTACTGTAGCGTTCAGTTCTCCACATGTGTCATTTATCTGTCCTTTTGGCCCAAGGGACTCGTCAGTACTTAGCTCCACTTCTTCAGCTGATGTCATTAGCTCCTTATGTGCAGATTCCAGCTCAGACCCTCACCGCTGCGTCCCTGTGCCTAGGGTAATGTGAGCTCATGGGCTCTGCCTGCTGTTTCGCAGCGTCTCGGCCACAGGCCCAGTCTTCCATGACGCTGAGACTGCAAACCCCCTTTTTTTTTTGTGGAACCCGGGATTGAACTCAGGCCCTTGTGCTTGCCAGGGAAGTGCTTATTCTACTGAGATATCTCCCCGGCCCATCAAGCTTGCACTTTCAAGCCTTTTCTACCTCCTATATAGAGGCCCTGTACTGAGCCTCCTGGAGTAGTCAGCTAGGTGTCCACACTTGACCAGGTGCTGACAGCCAGCTGGCAGACTGGGTGTCCGAGTCCTAGTGTCTTGCGATCCTTGGGATGATGTGCTGATGGGTAAGCTGTTCTCCCCCATCTGTGCTTAGGAATCCCTATCTTCTGGCAGAAGAGAGGATAGCACTACTGCCCCCAGAAACAAAGAACCCACAACGACGCTTACCTATGAGCTCTGGTTTGTGTATGTTCCCCCAGTGCTCATATACCGGAAACCCAAGACTTGATGTGATAGCAGGTAAGAGCTGGGTCCTTCAGGAGGTGACTGAGTCATGAGGGCTCTGCCCTCCTTCACGGGATTAAATATCCTTGTAACAGGGCTTGCAGGGAGTAGGCCTTTTGCCTTTCCATCTCTCTTACCATAAGAGGACACAGCAGGAAGTCACTGTGGAAGCAGAGAAGAGCCCTCACCAGATGCTGAAGTGGATAGCATCTTGATCTTGAAATTCCCAATCTCCTGAACTGTGAGAAACACATCTCTCTTGGCCATGCCGCACCCAATGTCAGGGGTTCTGATATAGCAGCACAGACCACTACACGGTCTTGTTTTCATGAGATGCACCATCTGCTTCAACAACTATGATTCTAGAATGTTCAGCTAGAGTGGTTAGGGAAGTTCTATTTCAAAGAGTAGATAAAGGTCAGGTTCTGCAACTCTGGGATGGAAAGTGGGCTCTGAAAGACATTTTGGCCTAAGACCTTGTAACTGGTATCATGGGGTTCTTTAGCATCAGGCAAGCAAGGTAGGGGGACCCAAGTGAATACCCCATCCCTAGGAAGTAGCCCTTAGTTGACCGGTTTCTGCTTTTTCTCTGTGTGGTGCTGGGGATTAAACTTGGGACTTTGTGCTTGCCAGGTGGGTGCTTATGCCATTGAGCTATATTCCCAGCCCTCCAATTTCTGCTCTCATGGAATCATGGGTGCACCAATCTGGACATGACAATTTTTAAAGAGAAGCCAGAACACCTCCATTTTTATGTGAAAGTACCCATGTTTCAGTGTTGGTAATCCACATGATCTTAAAAACCTCAGTAGCTCTGTGGAGACCAGAGACACCTGGTAAAAAATCACACTGTAGCTAGCTACTTCTTCTTTTTTTTTTTGATGGAATCAGGGATTGAACTCAGACCCCCTGCGTTTCTACTGAGCTAACTCCCTGACCTGTAGCTAGCTACTTCTGCGCTATGCAGCTTGGTGTAAGAATGTATGCTGTTATCCAGTTGTTTGGCCTCAAACCTGTATGGATCTGTTAGTCTCTCAGTGGTCCCTGGGAGAAATCCAGGAGAGGATTTAGAAAATAAAGACAAGACATAATAGCTGAGGTCAGGTGGTAGACCATCCATGATTGGCAAAGGACCTCCAAACAACAGTGGGGGCGTTTATTTATACCTCTGCAAAGTTGCAAGACACAAAGTTGCCTAGCGACTAACAGCCCACAAGGTCCAGGCAGAATGTTTTTTTCAAGAGTGAAGCAGCTTGGGGCCGGGAAGATGGCTCAGTGGAATAAGCGCTTCTCTGGCAAGCCCAAGGGCCGGAGTTCAATTCCCTGGTTCTGCCAAAAAAAATTGACCACTTCAGGCAGTGAGGCCACATCCTACCCTCCTACCCTCCCCCATACGATCGCTTCAGTAGCTCCCAACACAAACCTGGACTTGGACTTTGTTTACTGTGCCCTTGTAGAATGTTCCTGGAAACAGCACCCCAGGGTGGGTGGTCTGCTCACCTCCCGCAGCCTGCCGGGTGCCTGCATCCCTACCTCGCTCGCACCCCATGCCACTGTCCACATAAAGCACTCAGCCTTGTCCTTGTCCGCTGCATGTGCTGGCTTCACTATGCCATTACAGTAATTCAGGTCCTATGCTTGAAGGCTCGGAGTTGCCAAGCTTCAATGGTTAACACAGAGTGCCTCAGAACGGCGCCTGGCACGGTAAGCAGTAGCTATCATTACCCTCAGGCTTCTAGTTTCAAAGCAGCTTCAGTGCCAACCCTCTGTGAATTAGTACTTCCACACTGCAGCATGGCTGTGACAAGGTGGCCTCGGAAGCCCTCTCCCCCCTCAACATTCCTACAGCTTGGTCCTCCTCAGTCACTTCCAGCTCCATGGCTCCACCCCTCCCCTTCCACACGCACCCCAGGTTCCTGCTCTGCTCTTTTCTGTGCCTGCCTTTCTTTCCTCTAGTAGGTCTGTCACCTTCCCAGAGAACTATATGCTTTAAAGTTGCAACCTCTTTCAGAACTCTTCTCCGTCTACTTCCCTTCCATCCTTTCTATTTTGTGAATCAGGGGATTGAACCCGGGGCCTTCACATTGAGCTACAGCCTCACCCCTTTTTGAAAGCACTTTTTCTGTCAGGCATGGTGGCACATGCCTGTAACCTCAGCACTCAGAAGGCTGAAGCAGGAGGATCATTGCAAGTTTGAGACCAGGGCTGGTGAGATGGCTCAGTGGTCTAAGGCACCTACTTAGAACAAGCTTAGCAAAGCACAGGGACCACGGTTCAATCCCCCAGCACCACATGCCAGCCAGCCCCACCCCCTGGTGGGCTGAGCTGGCCACACACACCCACACCCCCCCCCACACACACAAACAAATATATAAATTTAAAAAAAAAAAAAAAAAGTTTGAGACCAGCCTGAGCTGCATAGCGATACCCTGTCTCAAAAAGAAAAAAATAAATAAAAGCACTTTTTTATATTTAGCCAGGGTCTAGCTAAATTACTAATCTGCCTGGGATGGGCTGGATCTTGTGGTCCTGTCTCAGCTTCCCATGTGCCACCCTGCTTCACGTCTACTTTATTTTCTTGACAGCATTTACTACCATTCTACATATGCTGCTTGTTTGTTCACAGTCTGTCTCCACCACAGGTCCCACCCAGCCCCGTGTCAGCTTCGCAAGGATGAGGCTATTATTTTATACAGTCCTAGTAATACAGTCCTAGTATTCAGCGCACAGCAGATACTCAAAGATATTTGGTAAATGCATTAAGGGACCCCAGTTCCTACCTCACAGAGTCTAAGAACCAATGATGATGTGCAAATAATGCACAGCACTGCATAAGTGCCAGGAAAATGGCAGCTGGAATTACTGTTGGATTTGGTACTAGGACTTGACTTCAGGACCTCAAGCTTGCCAGGAAGGTGCTGGGCCACTGAGATATGTCCCCGGCCCTGTAATTACTTTTTTTTTTTTTTAAGTTTATTTATTTGTGTGTGTGTGTGTGTGTGTGTGTGTGGCCGGCTCAGCCCACCAGGGGGCGGGGCTGGCTGGCATGTGGTGCTGGGGGATCGAACCAGGTCCCTGTGCTTTTGCTAAGCTTGTTCTAAGTAGTTGCTTTAAACCACTGAGCCATCTCACCAGCCCTGTAATTACTATTAAGGTTCTATTTTTCTAAGTTCCTAGATGCACCCTTTATTTCTAAGAGTCTATGTATACGAAGCCCTTGGCCTAGCCTGAGACACCGAGGGAGCTTACAGGGAGCCCAGTATGATTGCAACCAAAATCTTCCATGCAAGGGCTCAGACAATATGGCAGGGAGCATGAGCTGCCCCCATAAACCTCTCTGCTTTCGTCAGATTGGCTAGACTGCATTTCCCAGACTCCCCTTCAGCTGGCAGGACCACGTGACTTACGGTGCCTCAGCAGGGGTGCAGAGTGGAAGCAGCAGGTGCTCCTGGCAGACAGGCTGCTCATGCTGCTGTGCACTTCTCTAGGCTCTCTGTCCTCTTCCTGCAGCAGCACCCAGGTGCAGTCACCCAGCCTCACCTGCCAACAGGCTTGATGGGAAGGCTGGTCCCCCAGTCACCCACCTGGGACCATCGTGTGAGTAAGAACAGAATCCTGTCGTGTCACAGATTCTGCATCCCACAGCCGCTGGGATATACGTGGAACCATGTGGCACATGAGCACCTAGTAAAAGCTTTAGGCCGGTGAGATAGCTCAACATTCTAAGTACCTGCTGAGGCAAACACAGGGTTTCCCAGCACCACATGCTGAGCCAGCGTTTCACCCTGGGCACACTGAGCTGCATGCCTGTAATCCCTGATCCAGGGAGGCTGAAAACAGGAGGATCACTACAAATCCGAGCTGCTCTGGGTATCAAAAAACTGATACCCAGAGCAGTTTTTTTTTTTTTTTTTTTTTTTGGGTAGTACTGTGGACTGAGTCCAGGGTCTTTACACTGAGCTACAGTCCCAGCCCTTTTAAAAATCTGTTTTGAGAAAAGGTCTTACTAAGTCACAAAGATGCCCACGGTGGGGTCAAATTTGCGATCCTCCTGCCTCAGTTTCCTAAAGTGCTGCGATTATAGGCATGGGCCACCATGGAGCGCACACACACACACCCCAAACACACACTGGACCACTGCTCGTACAACGTGGCTTTTATTCTGGCCTTCACACAGCTACTCCTAAAACAACACAGAACTGTGGTACCCCACCCCCACGACCATCGTGACCACTCCAGCTTCCTCAGTGCCCTCCTCCCGCCCCCCTATTCACCTTGCTCCCTGGCTGGGGGCTTTGCCTACACCTCACCCCGGGCATGCAGCATGAAGTGGCCATGCAGCTCTCCAAGGTTGTCGAAGGAATCCTCGCACTCGGTACAGTGATAGGTGCCCTCTTCCTCCTCCTCCTCCTCCTCTTCCCCTTGCCCAGCTGCTCGGCCCTCCCCAGCCCGAGGGGGCTCTTCCTCTTCCTCCCCCAGGGCTCTGCCTTCAGGGGCTGGTGCTTCCTGGGGGGCTGCAGCAGGACAGCAAAGCCGGCAAGGTGGGGTGCCTGGTGGGGCCTCCCCAAGCGGGGACCGGCCACAGAGTGGACAGGGCTGAGCCGCGGGGCCCGGGGGCTGGGCTGCACGGGGGGCCCGGCGGGACGGGCCTCCCCGACCCCCACCAAGGCGCTGCTTCACCTTGTAGCCCGGGTCATATTCGGGATCATCAGTGGTTTCCTCTTCTTCCTCCTCCTCATCTTCCTCCTCTTCAGAATCTGGCTCTGAGAGCGTGTATTCGGAGTCAGAGGAATGCTCAGGGCCTGTTGGGACAGATGAGGGAAGAGTGGTATCAGGGGGTAGAAGGCTCTGGGCTAGCGGGCCCTCCCTGGGCCCCACCGAGGCTTGCTCCTGTGCAGAGCACAGCCCACACCTTCCTTCCCACAGATGAGTTCTCAGGCCCAGACCTGGGCTGGCAGGCAGCAGATGTGCTGAATTCATGTGTCCAGCAAACGAACACCCAGCAAAAACTGCACTCGGGTAGGGGTGGGCCAGCACCAATGACAGCATCCACTGAGGCTTGAAAAGCCCTGTCCTTAGATTTAACATGCTTAATCTTTACAACCCTTAGAAGGAGCTACTATTATCATTTTTCCTGACCAATGTGAAAACTGATACCCAGAGCAGTTATGACGACTCACTGAGCTGGGTGTGGTGGTAATGGCGCATGCCGGTCATTCTAGAACTCAAGAGGCTGAGGCTCACTGTGAGTTTGAGGCCAACCTGTGCTACATAGTGAATTCAAGGCCAGTCTCAACTATACAGTGGGACCCTGTCTTAAAAAGACCAAAAAGTATTTTGACATGTGGTCACATATGTAAAGTGAATTAAAATCTTTAGCTTGCTTGCTTTCTTGTATTTAGTACAGGGTCTACAGGGTCTCACTACACAGCTAGGACTCATACTAATCTTCCTGTTTTCAGTCTCCCAAGCACTGGGATTATAGGTGTGTGGCACCATGTCCAATCTCATGTCCAAGTTGGCCCTCTCAGCATGCCCAGGGGGTGAGGCAGGCACACCCCGCTGGGGATTGCTGCACCTACCTAAGCAGGCACTGTAGTCCACTGAGCTATCTGGCTGGCCCCAAGCATTCTTCATAAAGCAAAAGGATCAAAAGTTTGAGTCCAGGGCCAGGAAGCCAGGAAGATAGCTCAGTGGTATAAATGCCTGCCTGGCAAGCACAAGGTCCCGAGTTTAATCCCTGACAACACACACACACACACACACACACACACACACACACTCTCTCTCTCTCTCTCTCTCTCTCTCTCAAGAAAGAAAGAGAGAAAGTGCCTGCTTGCAGGTGCAGGGGCTGAGGTTCAATCCCCCAGCCTGCCCTGCCGGCCCCGCCCCTCAGGGCACCCTGAGATAGCAATTGAGACTGGGTGTGGTGGTGCATGCTTGTAATCCCAGCATAGGCGGATTACTATGAGTGATCCCTGAACACCCTGTAGACTCTTACCTAAAATACAAAAAAGAAAGAAAGAAAAGAGATAATTGAGGATTAGGGTTACAGCTCAGTGGCATAAGCACCAGCCTGGCAAATGCAAGGTCCTGAATTCAATCCCAGGTACTATGGGGGAAGAATGAAAAAAAAAAAAAAGTGAAGAAAATGAACAAGTTTAGGGCTAGCCAAATACCTCATGGATTAAAGCACCTGTAAGGAGGCTCAGGGGCCCAGGGTTCAATCCCTGGGCCTGCCATGCTGGCCCCACCCCTGGGGTGAGCTGAGATGCCAATTGAGACTGCGCATGGTGGTACACGCCTGTAATCTCAGCTCTAGGGAGACTGTAAACAGGCGGATCACTATGAGTCCAATCTAGTAGTGAGACCCTGAACACCCTGTAGACCATTCCCTAAAAATAAAAAGAAAAAAGAAAAGAAAAAAGTTCAGTCCAGCCAAGGCAATTTAGCAACTTAGCAATTTCCTGTCTCAAATTAAAAAGCATAAAGTTCTGCATATGTGGCTTTGGTGCAGAGGCCCTGGGTTTTATCCCAAGTACTGTGAACAAGGGGAAACTTCAGTCAGTGTGCAAGAAGTGGTGACACCCACAGCCAGGCTGGGGTTGTGCACACAGAGCCATGGTCACAGAGGGGACACAGGCCTCTTCAGCTGCCATGGCAGGGGCGGCTAAAAACATCTTGGGGTTGCAGTACCTCATGCTGTGCCCACTGGAGCCCCATCCTCTATGTCCTGCAGCAGTGCTCAGGGGTCCTGAGTCCATTGACCCTGCCCAGGCAGCCATGCCCTGCCCTCACTCCTGTCACATGGCCACAGGCCCTCTGCTCTCACCAGCCACAATGAGCTCCTCACCATCACTCAAAACCCCAAGCATGCATCACCTTCTGCAGACAACAAGCTTGCTTCCTCCTCTCCTCTACATCTCTGCTTAAGTGTCATCTTTTCAGTGACACTTGGGCCACTGTCTGACCAGAGAGACAGATTTGTCTGATTTTTCTCTTAGAACCTGATTCACGGGTGTGCTTAGGGCCTGTCCCCGGAGCAAGGCCTCCACTCGCTGTGGTCATCCTGGCCGCCAGCACACTTGGTGCCTGTGTCTTTGTGGATTGGGTCTCTGCCTTCGCTTTGCAGATCTCTTTGGAGGCTTCTCCATGTGCTGGTCCCCTCTGCCCTGCCTGTCCCATCCTCCTTTACCTTTAGTGGCCAGGTGGAGGCCCCCTCCTTGGAGACACTGTCCCAGACTTTGTGCACTGCATTTGTGTTCAGCTTCCTTGCCCACCTATGGGGACCAGGCCCACTCCAACTTCACCACAGCATCCCCTGCCCTCCAGCCAAGCACAGCTTCTGAATGTTTGCTGAGCATCTGGCCCTGCAACTCCTGCCACCCTTGGTCTCTGCCTCTCCTGTTCTCTATGACACTGGTGTGCACTAGTCCCCCTGTCTGGAATGCTGTCCTCCACTCTGTCCACCTGTCCCCTCTGGCCCATCTTTCTGGATCCAGCACAAGCCCCCTCCTCCAGCTGGTTCCCTCTGCTGCCCCCCTGGTGACCTTGCCCTGTTGTACCAGCAACTCTCCTTCAAGGACCAGATCACACCTCCCCCCCGCTGCAAAGTCCTCCCCGACCTCCCCATGAGATGGATGCTGTCTCTCTCCTCAGGGCTGCCCCTAGCCCCGAGCCCTATTCCATCCTGACCATCCTGAAAGGTAATGATGTATGGGCTGGGGATATGGCTCAGTGGAATAAGTGCTTCCCTGGAAAGCTCAAGGGCCTGAGTTCAATCCCTGGTTCCGAGAAAAAAAAAAAACAGGTGACGATGTAGGCCTGAAGACCCCCCACCCCCACCCCCAAGCAGGGCCTTCATCTGCCCCATCTCCACACCCCTTGAAATATTGAGAAAAGTCTGCCTTGGAACACATTGCAGAATGACTGCAAAAAAGGGGCAACATCTTGGGCGGGGCCCTTCCCCTCTCCTCCCATCTCTGACCTCACACTACCCACCCTCCTGGGCCTTCACTGCCCACTATGACTTCACGCAGCTGGTCTAGAACAGGCAGTCAGGTCACTGTCCAGGACTACCAGGTCTGGCACAGCCACCATGACTTCCAGGGCCACAAGCCCTTTGGTGTCCACCATGCCTTCTCCACCTAAGAGACCCTCAAAGCCCGGCCAGGCTCCGGTTTCCACTATTCCTTCCGTGCCCGCCAAGGCTCCCATGCCTCCTGCCTCCTTGAAGACCACCAAACCAGCAATCCCCAACAGCTCCTCAGTGCCCCCCAAGTCATCGATGCCCCCCAACTCAGTCATTAGCCCGAGCAGCTCCAAGTCCTCCAAATCTACAGGTACAAAGACAGCCCCTTCTAACCGGCCCAGCAGCAGGTCCCAAGCGCGGAGCAAAACAAGAACACCCAGCAAGGTGAGCACGGACACCAAGGCCAGCACGGACACCAGGGCCAGTGAAGCCAGCAAGGCCCGTGGCGCAAAATGTCACCAGCAAAGAGGTGCACACAGTCGGGGCCGAACTCCAGGCAGAAGACCACACCACAGTTCCCGGGGACCACCCAGCAGGGCCAGCACTCCCCGAAGTGTAAGAACGCAAGAGGCTAGACCAGGCATGGCCAAAAGGGGGAGAACTCCTAGTTCCCAGCCCAAACAGAGTGAAGGCAAAGGTTACAGCCAGTCTAGAACCAACAACCAGGAAAGGAAAGAAAGCAGCCAGCCCAGAAACGTGGGCAGAGAAGAGAGCTACAGCCCGCCAGGAGGATCAGGTACTGCAAGTAGCTCCAAGCTGACAGTGACCCCCATTAGGGCAAAGAGCGATAGCCCAGCTAGAAGAACCTTCGAGGAGAAGGGTCACACTCAGTCTCCCCCATTACTGAGGAAAGTGAACAGCTACAATCAGATGATGGCCTCCATGTGGGAGCGGAGTTACAGTCTGACTGAGGTGTCCAACAGGGCCAAGGGTTATAACTCCGCTAGCACTCCCAACAGAACCCCAAGTCATAGTCGGTCTATCACTCCCAACACGACCCCAAATTACAGTCATTCTAGCACCCCCAGCAGAACCCAAAGTCACAGTGGTTCTATAAGCCCCAGAAAGGCAAGAAGTCATAGTTGGAAAAGGACCCACAGCAGGGCAAGAAGCCACAGTTGGAAAAGAAATCACCCTAGAGCAAGAAGTCGTACCCGGAAGGGAACTCCTAGCCAGATGAGAACACAAAGCCAATCTAGAAGCCCTAGAAGGGAAAGAAGTCACAACTGGTCTAGACACCCCAGTGAAGAAAGAAGCTATGGCCACCGTAGAAGCGCCAGCAAAGAAAGAGATCACAAGCGATCTAGCACTGCTAGCAAGGAGAAAGATCGTAGCCGATCTAGAACACCCAGTAAGGAGAGCGATCATACAAGATCTAGACTCCTCAGCAAGGAGAGAAATCATACAAGACAATCTAGAAGCCCCAGCAAGGAGCGCCATCATAGCCAATCTAGAATGTCTAGCAAGGAGGGAGGTTACAGCCAATCTAGAATTCTCCAAAAAGAGAGAGGTCACAGCCAATCTAGGATTCCCAACAAAGAGAGAGATCGCAACAGATCTAGACCAGCCAGCAAGGAAGGAGGTCACACAAGACCATCTAGAACCCCCAGCAAGGAGAGAGATAATAGCCAATCCAGAATCCCCAATAAGGAGAGAGGTGGCAGCCAATTTGGACAGTCCAGAACACCCAAGAAGCACAGAGGCTATACTCGATCTGGAACCTTTGGCAAGAAAGGTCACAGCCATTCTAGAACCTCCAGCACAGAGAGTGACCAGAGCCCATCTAGAAGCCCCAGCAGAGAGAGAGGCCTTGGCCAATCTAGAGCTTCCAGCAAGGCAAGACATTCCGATCTATCCACAACCCCCAGGAGTTTCAGTTGGAAGAAATCCAGCAGCTCAAGGAGTTCCAGTCAGAGCAGAACCCACAGCAAGACAAGGAGATACTCCCCAGCAAGACTTCCTGCTGCAGCCCACACCCGAAGCCATGATGACCGTCAAGCCAAAAACAAGATCTCCAAGGCCGTCTCACCTGGGGAAAGGTCTTCATCGTCTTCTTCCAAGCTGGCGTAGCCCCCAGTCTCAGCTGGCTCACGAGTCTCTGTCATGGCCAGGGAAGGGGACAGGAGCCAGGAGTAGAGCAACAGCTGAGCAGCACCTCTCCCTGGCCAGCTCTCCAGTCACAGCCGCAGCAGTAAGTTCTTCTAACACAGGATGTTGGCAGGTAGAGAAGGATGCTGGACTGGGGAGAGAGGAAAGGCCTGTGGTGACTCAATAAATTTTTAGAAAGCATTCATCTGCAGGCCTACCACAGTTGTGTGTCTGTGCTAAGGGTGAGAAAAAAATGACCCCAGTGTCTTAGACAACCACAGTAGGCCTTGCCCCCTTGGTGTGTCTTAGCTTCCCCATCTGGGCAATAAGACTACTTTGTGGTTCTTATTCAATGGAGTAGGAAGAGGTAATATTTTTTTTTTTAGAATTATTTATTTATTTATTCATTCATTCATTCATTTTGCGTGTGTGGCCAGCTCAGCCCACCAGGGGGTGGGGCTGGCTGGCATGTGGTGCTGGGGGATTGAACCGCAGTCCCTGTGTTTTGCTTAGCTTAGCTTGCTCTAAGTAGGTGCTTTAGACCACTGAGCCATCTCACCAGCCCCAGGAAGAGGTAATATTTCATTCATTCATGTTTTCTTTTTTAGGCAGAACTGGGGATTGAACTTAGGCCCTTGCATTTTACTGAGCTATCTCCCCAGCCGCCCCGGTTTTTTTTTTTTTTTTTTTTTTTTTTTGAAGTCTCGCTCTGTAGCTCAGCCTAGCTTCATACTCCCAGCAATCCTCCTGCTTCAGCCTCTCAAGAGCTGGGATTGCAAGCATGTGCCACCACGCCCAGCTATTTATTTAGATTTTTTGAGGCAAGATCTCACTTTGTAGTTCAGGTTGGCTTCCAACTCTCAAACTCACAGCAGTCCTCCTGGCTCAGCCTCCCATGAGAGTGCTGAGATTACAGGCATGTGGCACCTCGCCCAGCCAGATATTCCAAATATTTTACAGGTAGGGACCATGAGTAGAGATAGCCAAGCGTGGTGGTATACACCTATAATCCTCCACACTCAGGAGGCTGAGACAGGAGGATTGTCCTGAGTTCAAAGCCAGCCTGGGCTACCCAGCAAAAGAGACCCTGTCTCAAAAAAAAAAAAAAAAAAAAAAGTGAAACAGGAGATCAGGCATCACCCATTAGGTGCTGGGTTGTGGGGACATCTGGGATTAAGAGACAGTTCAGTGTGAGTTCAGGATATGGAACACTTGGTGTGGCAATGATATACCAACCAGTCTAGAAACCTTTGACTATTTGAACAACTGATGTGGCAGCAACAGTTTGTGAATGTCAGCCTTAGTTGTTTCAACTGGTAACATAGCATTTAGGCTTGAATCTTAAACCTGTCACCCTTGGGCTGTGCAGTGTGAAGCAGAGGACATATCCTCTCCAGCTTGTTTTCTGCTCTGCTGGAAAGGGGCATCCAGGCCTAGACTCTCTCTCTCTACACTCCTCAGAGCCCTATTACAGAGACAGCCCTCCCTTATACAGATGAGCAAGCACGGGCACAGAGACACCTAAGCAGCCCATCTGGTGAGTGGCTGGGGCCGTGTCATCCTGCCCCTCCTACAACTATCTCTCAGCTCAAAAGATGTTTTGTAGATAGATCAACTACAAGTTGCTGCTATGTGGCAGGGACTCCACAGACAGCAGCTGTTTCTACTCACTCTTCCCCATCCTATAAACTTAGGCCACGCCAGACTTCCTGCCTCTCCTCAGGCACACCTGGCCTTTTCACATCCTGAAGGCTTTAGTACACCGTGCTGTTCCTGCCTGGAATGTCCTCTCTTCCTTGCCTTCTTGAGAACTCCTTTTCACTCTTTAAAGCAGTAAGGGTGTCTACACTACTTCCCAGTCCAAATATTCCCTGACTCTCCCAGGAAGGCTTCTGATTCCTCACCCTTCCCTATTTCCCAGTGGACCCTTAGACCCACGCTCGTGCCACCACCCCACTGAGCTCCCTGATGGAAGACAGCATTGAAGAGGGTACCAGCATCAGCCATACCCCTTACATGCCAAGGCCTGAGATGGGCAATGGGAATGCAACAGCACAAAACACAAGATCTCTTCAAGGCCCACAGTTCAAGTGCAGTACAGGGGACTTAAGAGGGTAGGGGGGGCTGGGGAGACGGCTCAGTAGAATAAGGGCTTCCCTGGCAAGTGGAAGGATCCGAGTTCAGTCCCCAGTTCCACCAAAAAACAAAACAAACAAACAAACAAACCACCCCAAAACAAGAGGTTAGAGCATGACAGAGTTGGCACCACTGTTAGGGGGACTTCTTAAAGACACCAGGATGTGGGCTTTTAAGGACAGAATCAATTGAGACCCTCTCTCAACCCCCCCCCCACAAATTCAGTTAAGAAAACTGATATAGGTATGTTCTATGCAACATTTGGAATTATATATATATTTTTTAATTTCGACTTTTCTAAAAAATTATTTATCTGAAATTCACACTTAACTAGGCTTTTTGTATCCTATCTGGTAATTATTTGGGACAATCAGAGCTTCCCATTAGGTGACCTGGAGACAATGCCCATTCGTCCAGCCCAGGCGATCCCCACACAAGGGGTCTTCCAGAGTACCCCAAGCACCAGGTAGGTGAAGGCATCCCTTAGTACATTAAGTCCCACTCCTAGAATGTGTGGTAGCCAGAGTGGCTCCCACAATCTATGAGGGTCACAAATGCAGTTCTCCCAGTGTAATAAAACAGCCACTAACTCTCAAGATGGCCCGTGTTACCACAATAAGCACTGTTTCTCACAATGCTAGGGCAAACAAGCCAGTGTAAAATCGTATACAACACAATAAGGACCCTGCGGAAGTCCTTCCCAGGATGCCTCGGGCCTATAACGACCACCTCCCTGCACGGGAGCGCTCCAAGCTTCCAGGTGTGACAAAAGGGGCCAGGTTCCCAAGGGGACTGGGCTGATGCTTCCCAGAATGTGTATGTAACGACTCCCACAATGCTGTAAGGCACAGTGCCCAGGTTTCCCACTACGCCCCAGAAGAGTATGGAGCCGCGGGGGAACCTGAGTCGCCCCAGGTCGCGACGGCCGAGCCCGCCGCCCTCTTCACAGTGACGGCGGCCGCCGCTCCCATCATGCAGTGGGGCCGTAGCGCCCGCTTCCCAGAATGCCCCGCGCACCCCGAACTCGGACACTCACCGGCGCTGGCGGCCCCAGCTCTGGTTCCAGCTCTGGCTCGGCGGTGGCGGCTGCACGCCCGGGCTCTGCGCCTGCGTTGCGAGTAGGCTAGGAGGGAGAGCAAGGGGCGTGAGGAGCCGAGGGCGCTTGCGCGGCCAGACGGACAGTTCCTGTCGTTCTGCGGGAAAGGGGGCTACCCGAGGCGGGTGGTTAACGGAACTCACGGAGGGGCTCCTGCGCTCTGCCCGTCGCTGCCTGGCTTTACTTGGTACAGTCTGCAGCCTGAAGGATCGAGAAGCAGTGGAGCTCGCGCGTGCGTGCGCACAGCAGCAACGAGCCTCTTAAAAATGGGATGCTCTGGGGGTGGAGGGCGAGGAGTCGGCCAGGATCTTGGGCTGGTGGCCGATTTATTTGCATAATCCTAGCACGGGACAATGGAAGGCCTCCCGCACTGATGGAGTGATTTGCATATTCCCGGCAGAGGCTGAACTCCGGAGCGCAGTGATTAGCATATGAGGGGCTGGGGGGAGGGTCGCCTGAACATGGCGCATGCGTGCCGGCACTGCAGACTAGTGCAAAAGTAGGTAGCCTAGGCTTAATCGGGGAATCACTTTGCATCCCTAGACAGTGCCCAAGGACCAGGACCCGTCGCAACCCTCACACTCCTCCCAACCAGGATAAGTTTATTGATCTCATGTGTCAGGCTTTGTGGTGGCAAGCACTACAGTTTCTGCAGTAATGTGGCACCCCAGGCAAAAGAAGACAATCCACAGCTAATTAGACTACTACCTCGAAGGGTCAGACCTGAAATGCATAGAGCACAGAAAGCTGTGGGTTGCAGAAGCAGCCCCTGCCCTACCCTGACAAGTGGTGATTTTCAAACCAAGTATGATCAGGAGGCGATTAGAATGGAGTCTTTCTGGCAAAGGGAACAGCAAGGACAAATGCCCAGGGGCAAAAAAAAAAAAAAAAAAAGGGGCCTGGTCTGGTTGCAGAAGTGAAAGCAACTTAGTGCGCCTGATACTTAACTGAATGAGCAAAGGAAAAGCTTCTAAAGGTAGTTTTAAAAAGATCAGGGCTTTATGCTAAATAGGAGACTTTTTAAAATTTTTTGGTATGGGGAATCAAACTCAGGACCTCATGATTGTCAGGCAGACCTGTGCTATTTTCCCAGATAAATGGAGTTTTGTTTCGTTGTTTTAGAGGAAGCCATTGAAATTTTCCAGTCTTCCAGGAAGAACTGACTGTGTTAAAGTGACAACTTAAAACTCTTCAGTGTAGTCCTACTATACCTTTTTAAAAATCCAACCCCCTTACAGCCTCCGGGGTCTGGCCCTGCTTCCCTTTCTGACCTCTCCCACCCTTTGCAGCCCAGCTCTACTAAACCTCAAACGCTTCCTTCTCTTTACCATTCAGGCCTTTGATCTTGCTCTTCCTTGGCCTGAAAAGGTTTTCCCTCTGATCTTTGAATAACTGCTCTTGTGCTCATGATTCTTTGCTTGGAATAGATGTCAACCTGAGGCCTTCCCTGATTCAGAGAGCACCCCTGGATCTGAGTGGGGTACAGGAGCAGCCATAAGTTGGTTGCTGAAAGCAGGGTAAAGGGTACATGGATCTTTGCGGTCCTTTGTGTGTGCTTGCAGTTCTCCATAATATCCTGTCTTTTTTTTTCTTAGCTTTCTGAGACTGTCTCACCGTGTAGCCCAGGCTGGCCTTGAACTTGGTGCTGCTTCTGCCTCAGCCTCCTGAGTGCGGGGATTATAGGTGGGCACCACCATTCCTGGCCCGCATCTTCTCTTAATAGTCTTTATCACAATCTGAAATTAACTTTGTTTATTGTCAGTTTTCCTCAGGAAAACTTTAAGTGGGCTAAACAGAGCTGCTTTTTTACTTTGGGTTTCCAGTGCCTTCAACAGGATCAAACTTCATATTAGTGCCAAATGATAACACCCAACATCGGCCAGTTGCATTCACTGTGGACTCGCCAGAATATTAACAGCAAATGGTCCATTTTGAGTCTCCTGACTCTGGCCTTCTCACTGAGCTACATCCTTTAAAAACCTTGAAAGCCGGGATGTAGTGGGGCACACACCTGTGATCCCAGCACTGGGAGGCCAAGGCAGGAGGATCACCAGGAGGTCAAGGCCAGCCTGAACTCTGTGAGACCCTGTCTCAAAAATAAAACAAAACAAAAATATATATATATATATATTTTTTTTTTGTGGAACCGGGGATTGAACTCAGGCCCTTGGGCTTGCCAGGCAATCACTTATTCTACTGAGCTATCTCCCCATTCCCCTAGGATAATTTTTTTTTAATTAATTAATTAATTTATTTATTTAGTGTGTGTGTGTGGCCAGCTCAGCCCACCAGGGGGGCGGGGCTGGCTGGCATGTGGTACTGGGGGACTGAACCGCGGTCCCTGTGCTTTGCCAAGCTTGTTCTAAGTAGGTGCTTTAGACCACTGAGCCATCTCACCAGCCCTAGGATAAAATTTTGAAACAAGTTCTCACTAATCATTACATTATGCAAGACTGAAACTTGCTATCCTCCTGCCTCATCCCTCCAAAGTGCTGCCATTTCAGTCCTGCACCACACCCAGCTGGGTTTTTGTCTTTAAATGAGGGGCTCTCATGATGGTCAGGCTGACCCAGAACTCTTGAGGTCGAGGAGTCCTGCCTCAGCCTCAGAGTAGTAGAGACTACAGATGTGCACCCAGGTTTAGGAGAGGTTACCATTAGACCCAACGGACTGATACTGTAGATCTAAAGCTTAGATAAACAAGGTGTCTGAGATGAAAAATTAAAGGGCTTTGACCTGATGTAGAGGTGATGGGAGAGTAGGGAAAGGGTTTTTTGGTACCAGAAATAGCACTCTGGGCCCTGTACTTTGGAGGCAGGAGCTGAACCACTGAGCCATGTCCCCTGCACTGGGAAAGGTCTTGAGCAGGGAAAGGACAGGGTGAGCTATAACTGAAGTTTCTGGCAGGTAGAAAGGGTAAGGACAGGGAGGAAATATCAAAGCACTCACAGTGAAATCCATTCATCTGTACAATCAGTATCATTAATTATAATTTTAAAATATGTGCTAAGTTAAGAAAAGTAAAAGACAAAGCGGCCCTAGAGACTTTGAGGGAGGGGGAAGGCCAGGCCATGGGGTAGCTCGGTACCTACCAAAACTACAAGACTCAGTGACTACCTGGCTGAAGAGCCGGCCAGGTTTTCTAGAAGGGCAGAGGTGTTCTTGGTGCGGTCAGGGACTTCCCCAGTCACCCCACTCTCGGTTCCCCTCCACTGTGCTTACTAGGTAGTGGGACAGACACACAGCCACCCCAAACACTTGTTCTCTCCTCAGTTTAATGGTGGTTAGTGGGATTGCCAAACCCCCTCCCCATCCCCTTCCCACCCCATACAAAAATGTGTGTGTGGTTTGTTTTTTTTTAAAACAAGAAAAAAGGGGCAAAAGCCAGGAGTTGGGGGAGGGGTGCAATCTGATATTTTCATACAGATTTTTGATTTTTTTTTAATATATTATATATAAAACCATAGAGACCACGTATCCCCCATACTCCTTTCCCCTCCCCGGGGGGGCCTGGAGGAGAGATGGGGAAGGCCCCCCCAGGAATGGGCAGACAAACAAATATGGGTTGGACAGACGTGGGGGAGGAGGAGGGAAGGGAAGCCCAGAAACCTGGGGAAGGGGGACTAGAGATAAGGGTTGGGGCTGTCTCCCTCACTGTCCCCAGCAGTTATGACACAAAGACACAGAATCCCTATTTCCATACCCTCCCCCCACCCCTTCCCCCACCGTGCAAACATGGCTTTGCAAAGAGGTGCCCAGAGCTCTGTGGAACTCTTACAATGGCTGGCATGGGGTCTGGGACCCCCAAAGAAATCTCTGTTCCCTTCCCTGCCCACCCACCCTTCCCAGAATCTGACCCCCTCCCCACAAGACCTGGTCTGTAGTCTAGGGGCCCTGGTCTTCCCCCAGTTATCCTCCCCAAACCCAATCCCTACTGTCCTACCTGGACTTGGGGGGCTGGGGTTCTGGACCTTGAGCCCCTGCCCCCGGGGGGACCCAGACCTCTGGGCCCTCAGCTGTGGCACTGGCAGAGATCCGGGCATCCAACACCCCCTTCCCTGCCCAAGTGTCTGAGGTGTTAGTGGTGGGGGGAGACGCCCACCATCCCAGACTCTGGTAAATGTCTTTGCTGGTTCCTTGCAGCTGGCAGTGGGGGGGTCCCCAGCCCCGGCGCAGGCCTGGGGTGGGGGTAGGGTCAGATGAAGAATTCTTCTTTCCTCTTGTGTCCATCACTGCCATTAAGGAAGGCTTCTCTTGCTTCTCCCTGTTCATCCAAGCCACTGGCCTCGTGGGTCAGATAGGAGCCTGAGGGATGGCAGATGCCGGAGGCAGAGGGGACATGTATGTGGATGGAGTTGGACAGAAATACATAGAGGGAGACAGACATCAGAATAAGGAAGAAGGAGAAACAGACGACACGGAGCCAGAAAAACAGATCCAGGGAACAACAAAACAGTGGCAGAGAAAGAGGTAAAAGCAGAATTAGGAAGACTCCTGAGGTTTATGGTCAGATCAGCCTTAGCCCTTTTGGTTTGTACACTGCCCCGTACCCACTCTCCCTATCGGTCCTGCCTCCTCCCTCCTCCATCCCGCAGGGGAAGAAACAGTGCATCCTTTTTCAGTAGTAGTTTCTGGCTCCACTCTCAGTGACTTCATCAATTAAGAAGAAATGCCGTTTGATTCAAATGCTTGACCTTAATTCTTAGGTTTAAAAGGTTTACCACTTTCAAAACCTTGAGCCAAAAACTCTGCCCACTTGGGGATCCCGGCCTTAGGTCAGGATTTCTAATTCTGGGTCTAGACCCCGCCCATTTATTTTCCTGACCCTGTCCATCCTCCAAACCTTACTCTAGGCCCCGCCCCATAGAATCCCACAGCCAATCAGATCCACCGCTGAGTTCAGGTCCCGCCCCTACTCACCCTTCTGCCTTACTGAGCACCAGACCATGCCCACTAGCACACAAATAATCAGAAACACCAGTAGTGCCAGGATGCCGCCCACAATGGCGTAGGGAACTGACGTCTGAGCCTCTACCACCGCACCAGGGTCTGCCAGAGGGAAAAGGCACAGAACAAGGTCATCAGAGGCTGGTACCATCCGTGCCCACCCTTGCCACTTTTTTAGGCCATTCTGCACAGTGCATCTAACCTCCCCCTTTTATGTGCCATGCCCCTCAGAATTACTGCCCCCGTGGAGTCCTTTCTCATGGCTCCCTCTTTCCAGATCCTCTACTTCCTCAAGGAATACTTGGTTTGTATACTGCCTGGCCCCATCCCCAATGCCTGGCATGCTTCCTTCCCCCCCCCCCCACCTCCCAGAGGACAGAAACACGATATCCTTTTTTATTTTGACTCAGTTTTTCCCCTCTGCACTGG